TCTGCACAGGGGCAGCTTTTCATTTTGTGCCGCGCTTTTCCGTCACTCGCTTGTGTGCAGAGCAGCTGAGGGCAACTTTTAAAGGCACTTGACAGTTTTATTCAGAGCGCAAAGTAGCTGCGACTCGTCCTCGTCACCCACATTTGCTGCGGAAAGTTCCATTTAGTGTCATCAGCAGCCTCAACTACTGCTGTTTGAAATTCGCAAGTCTTTTTTGTCTATGAAGTTTTTGCAAAAGCTTGCTAGTGGTGGAGTCGTTTTTTCTAAAAGCGCTAAAAAGAAAAATGATTTAGTTGAAATTAAAAAAGATTGTAATAAAGAAGATAGGTGACTTAAATTAGTTATAAGGTTTTTTATTTATTTCTTTCAATTAGACTAATTAACTTGCTTGAAATTTATCTCTTCTATTTAAACATGAAAATTTAATGAAGAACTTTCCTTGAAAACATTTTTTTTTTAAATTTAAGTAATATTTAATTAATAAAATTGGAATATTATAATTTATATTAAAATTTAAATTCATCTCTAATACTTTCTTTTACTGATAAAATTTTTAAAACAGTTAAAATCCATTTAAAAATGAAAATTAATTTAATGAAGTAGAATTTATTGCAATATTCAATGAACAAATTACTCCGACTTAAATCACAAAGGAGCTGTAAGGAAGAAGTTGGTGTCAAATTCGTTTCGGTAGTCAAATGACGTGAAAGACGAATCTCGTCTGCTTTTCTCACGTGTCAAGGGAAAGGCGGGAGAGAAATTTATGTGGAAACAGAAAACCCAAAGCAGCGAAACTAGCGACGCGCGGCGACACTGTCAAAGGTTGCAGCCTTTCTATTTGCTTCAATTTTCGAGGCTCGCCGCGCCGAAAGCTTTTCTTATCCCCAGGATAAGGTTTTTTATTCGCTCTTCTGCATTGATCCAGACGGGCAGCAAACAGCAAACCCAAGAGATACACCAACAAAAATCATTCTACAAAAATTGTCCCAATTTACATAAACTACAAAATTCAGTCGAATTAAATAATAAAATAAACAATAAAATGTCATTTTAATCTTTAAACACAGAAAAAAATTAATAATTTAATTAATTTCTTGCTAAAAATTGTCATATATTGAGACAATTTTAGACTTATTGTTAGAATTGTTTTCAAAATACTCTTTTTAAAAATAAAGTGAATGTTCAATATACAAAATTTGATATGTAGAAAATTCAAACTACATTAATTCAGCTAATTTTTTTTTTTTATTAAAAATGGTGAAGTTGTGGAAATTCATTCTAAATTTGAAATTGAATTGCGATTTGAAATTTTTTTGCGTACGGTGGGTGCTGCGGTGGTGGCGCGGGTGCAGAACAGGCAGCAAAGGGGTGACGTCATGCTGCTGTTGGTATCGAACCACTTTACTTTCACTGCGGTACGTCTGCAGCAGACGAGTCGCGGATCCGCCGCCAGCCAATCTCAACAAGAGCACCCATTTTTGCATGCCCATTTATCTCGCTTGTTTTTTCTCGTGCATTCCGATCTGCTCCTTTAATGCACAAGCTCGTTAGCCGATCTTGAGAAGACGCGCTCTTTGACGCTTTTTTTTAGTCTCTTAAAAGCCAATTACGGGAAAAGCTGCTTCGTTGTTCCAAGTGAAGAGCGAATGAGAAATTATTTTTTGCAACTAAATATTAATGGTACTTTTAATTTCTTCTAAAATTAACTATTTTTTTCTGCGCAATAACGTCTAAATATTTAATCTTTTAAGGAAAATATTGATTGAATATTCTGTCAAAGTCTTCTTTAAATATTCATGTGCTAAAACAAGGTCCGCTCGTCAGAAAATTTCGATTGTTGCCGAGCTCTCTGATTGGGTACAACTTTACTTGTACCCAATCAGAGAGCTCAAACAACGATCAAAACTTTTTTCATTGTTGCTGATGAGCGGACCTTGTGCTAAAATAAAATTTTTTTTTGTTTTTTGATAAAATTACTTTTTCTCTAAGTTTTTAAAGCATAAATGTATAAATTTGTGTAATTAAATAGAAAGTATAATTCCATTTATGATAAAATTGCATTTTTTAGATGAAAAACCAGCCTGCAATATTTAATTCTGAAAACCTTTTGATGAGTTTTTTTCTTTGTGGAAGATGTGTTTGTTGATAGTAATTAGACGCCCTCATTGACAACGTTGGCAATTTGCACTGCAAATCAGCCCCTCTTTGTTGTGGCTGCAAGTGAGTGTAGGCAACCTGTCGGGCGCGTTCGTTGCACCGGTTGCATACCTCGGCCGGCCGACAATCCATGTCTGCCGCCCATAACTCAACTCGCCGCGCGCGTGAATTTATGCTCAAGGGGGCTAATTATGCGTCACGAAATTGCCCTCCACCCCTGCCGACTGCAATCGCAGTCCGTTCTTCTTTTCGGGAAAGATTGAGACGTCGAGGGGAGCTGCGAATAATGTTTGTTTCAAAGGAGGGAAAGTTATGCAGGGAAGGTTTAAGGACTCCTTATTGCAATGCTAAGAGTACCAAGGAGGTTTTTTTGATCGCACATATGCCCAATGCTATTTTTTTGCCCCATGAACCCTCAAATTTTTTTCTGCTAATCTGTTTAGGGTCATTCGCTTATCATTTTGTGAAATTTTGAGCAAAAAATTTCGGGCAGTTTTTTTTTAATCACCAAAAACAAAAATTTCCATAAGACGCAATGTAAAAATTCAAAAAATCATATTTCAAGAATAATCGGCGCTACCCCCCATTTTTCTTTGTGCAATCAACTCTACTGATAGGTAGGAATCTATAAAAAAATCTGGGTCCAAAAATTTCGGGCCGATTTGCCGCAAACAGGAGTTGTAGATGTCAATAAGCAGGCCTTAAATAATCCGAAAAGTAGGATCAAAATTTGTCACAGGAATTACTGTAGAGAGAGAGAAAGGATTTCCGGGGGCTTTTGTTTGTTATTTATGAATAATACAGCACCGGTGCTTGCATTGCTTTTATTTCAGCCTCATTTTTTAATCAGTTTTTTTTTTCATTTTCAAAAAGGACAAGGATATTTTTTTTGCAACTATCAAAAAATGAAATCTATAAGCAATTTTCGCTGGAGTTAAAAAGTTAAAAAAATTTTCTCTTCCCAAACATTTTCTGGGAAACATTCGAAGATTTATAAAATTTCTATTCAAAAGTATTTTTTTTTTCTCAATTTTGTCGAATAGGTTTAAAAAAGTGAAAGTTAAATTTATAAATTCTGTAATATCAGGTCAAAATATTCATTCACTCTTAAAAAATATTCTTCTTTCCTTTACATTTTCTTTAGAATAAAAGCGTTCCCCCCACTCTCTGACAACAACAAGCGCCTTCTCAGCTTTCATAGATTTTGATAGAGTTGTTGTATTTTTTTAAAACACCTGTGTTTTCCCCTTTTCATTCAGCTGTCGGGGTGTGTTTTGGAGCGCCGTTGCCGATTCGCAGAGGTTATCGACTTTTGGAATTTCCCTCCGTTTCTCGGTCGGAGCGAAATTTCCGAGTCACGAAGCTGTTGTAAAAATAGCAACCTTCGTGCCGTACCGCGATGCATAATTTCAGGCCGATCATTTGATTTATTCCTCTCGGAAAGAAAATTAACAAGTCGAAGCACCATCGATCTGATTGTGGGCATGAATTTTGCATGAGCTCATTGCTTAATTCCATTCATGCAAAATTGACAATAAAAGTTTCTATCTTTCAGGATAAATTGTTAAAAGGATAAATTCAAAATTGTTTAAGAAACTCATTTTATACAAGCATAATTTCAACCTCTGTAACTAAATTTTGAGAATTTTCAGTAAAACTGGGGGGACATTCATTTGAGATTTCCCCCAGCGAGGACTTTTGTCCCTGTAGGATGGTGGTGGGACAAATTTTTGCTTGGCTTTATAAATTTAGCACTTTCGGCCGAGAGAAAATTTTACTATATCCAAGTCGGCGGAAAAAGTTTGTTCCCTTGCGTTTTTCTTATCTATTGGTTTTCTGAATGAGAAAAAATTTCACATGCTGAAATTCTGGGAGAATTATGATTTATATTGTGACCATATTTTAAAGAATTTTGATTTATTAAAAATTAAAATTGATTTCCATTGCAATTCTGCTTCAATCGTCTTTTGAAAAGATTGTACATAAATAAAAATATGAAATTAAATTTAAATAAAAAATTAAAACAAATCTCTAGCCGCTGTAAATTGCTTATCAAACTCCACAGGAACAAGCTTACGGTAAGAGACAACAGAAACAAAATTACTGGTGCCAGAAAATAATTCGCAGAAATTCCTACTGGCTTTTGAAGCACCAACCTCAGAGTACCAACTCTTGCAATACCAATCCTATTAACTCATGGGGTTTGATAAGCAATTTACAACCGCCAGAGATTTATTTTAAATTTTTTAAATTAATTTAAATTGAATTAACTTGAATTTGCTAGTTTTAAGATTTTAATTTTTTGTTAAAACGTGGTGTTTTTTTTTTTTTTCAAATTTGCTGCTTTTTTGTATTTTTCTTGCTCATGAAATAGGGTCGCAGACCGTGACCGAAATTGGAAGAGCCGTTTTGTTTTTGAATAAAAACAATTTTTAGCAACGAGGAAAAGCCCGATTTTCTTCATTTCTGTAATTCGTTTATTGAATTTTTAATTATTAAATCATTTTAATTTCAATTTAATATCTGCGTTGGTACAAATTTGCATGTGTGTTTTTTTTTATCGTTTCGCAAGAGTTCCTCTGCAGGTGAGTGTGCCGTCGTTGGCAGGGGTTTGGCGGCGGCGGCAGGGGGCTAACGATTTTCCGCGGAAAGCACAGTCTGCCGGATGGTCTGGCGCGAGCAGTTTAGCGCAAAGTGTGGCGCTAGTGCGGCGCGCAGGCCGGGTCGGCCCGAGCCGGGCGCCCAGTAGCATTTCCACCTTGCTGGGTCGTGGTGCAAAAATTTTAGTGCTGCTGCCGGACTGACTGACCTTTTTTATCCCTCGCGGCGAACCCTTTTTTCGTTAGCCAGGTCGCAGCAGGTGCGAGTTTTAATTGTTTACAATTTTTATTCAAATTTCTTAGCTCTTTTTCGATTTAGTTCAAAACTATTGCATCGTAGCAAAATTTTAAATTTTTTCTTTTTCAGTTTGTTGAATTTAGTTGAATTTAATGAAATTAGTTTCGAAATGCACCAAAATTTAAATTGTTCAATTATTACCTGATCTTGTGTCTCTGGTGTCTCTGAAAGTATTGGAAAAAAATTAATTCTAATAAAAATTAGTCTTGATGTTTGGAAACTTTTCAAGTCAAAGGGAACATCTTAGTGATTTTTATTAATTTCTTGCGTACATTTGTTGCAATTTTAGTAAAAGTTTTTCACTCTGATTAATTATTTTCAAAGGGAGATGAGTTGATTGGGCGCGTCTTTTTTATTTTGTTTCTGGTTTTTAGCATGTCTCGAATTGTGCTAAGTAGTTTAGGAGGTAGTGGCGGAAGCAACAGCAATAATTCTGCGTCCACCAACGCCACGACAGCCACGGCTAACTCGACTTCTGCCATGAGCCATGCCGCCGCCTCGTCCGCCGCGAACAATTCCGCCGCCGCCGCCGCCGCCTCCGCGAATAGCGTCGCCGCGAACAATAACGCGAACGCGAACGACACCAACAACAACAATAACGACGACGAGGATTTCCCTGTTCCATCCATCTATCGGTAAATTCAAATCTCATCAGCTCTTTCTCAACCTCACTCTCTCTCTATCTCTTTCTTGCACCATTCCATTCTTTCACTCCGAGAGGAGGACAAATTAATTAATTTGTTTATTTTTTACATTCACAGTGTGGAAGGAAAAATCCCAACTTTTAAACTTCCGCACTTTCTCTTTATCGGTTCAAATTTTTCTGGAAATATTATTGCTGATGAGGATCGCACTTCTTGAAGTATTAGAACTTACTAGTTTTTATAGTTGATCTGAATAGAGTAGATTAATGTAGTGGTGGTTCCAATTTTTGAAGGCAATGTTAGTTAATTAATGATATTAGAAATATATGTAGTTTAATTAATACTTAAAATGAAAACACCTTAAATTTAGTATATTTTAATAAACACATATATATTTAAAAATTGAAGAAATTTGTGTTTAGCAATTCATATAAATCTGTATATTTTTGGGTTCAAGAAGAACACATTATTCTATGAATTATTCATTCGGTTAACAAGCTTTACTGGAACGATTTAAGTACAAAAAATCTATGTAAACTATTGAAGTCTTCAGGACGTTTTAATAAGTAATCTTCAATTAAACATTATTGCTGTACATAATAACAAGCTAAATTAAGCTCAATAAAATTTTATCCAGTAATTTTAATAATCAATTTATTTACCAGCAGATTTAAAATTAAACGAAATCAAGTTTAGTCCAGGTTCATTTGCTGTTCTACCAACGGAAAGAGATTTTTTTTTTAAATTATAACTTTTTTAAGGGCTGCTTATTTACTTTGTCAAATCAAGTCTTTACAACAATGCAGTCAACTTTCCAGTTGTTTTCCAATAATTGTCAAAAATGGCTTTCAATTATTGCTTCCTTACTTGCTCTTGAGATTCCGGATTAAAAAGATTTAATTTTACAAAAATAAAACAATTTTGTTTAAACTTTGAATACATTTAAAAAAAAAATTAAGGATCAGAAAAGTTTTATCGTCGTGCATTTCAATTTTTTCTTTTTAATTGTAAAAAATTAGGTCGAATTAAAATGAGATTGCGATAAATTGATCGCAAGCCCTTATTTGAAATTAGATAGAGTATGTCGTCGGAAGCGATGCGGTCAGACGCGATTAATTAAAAAGCCGGCGATAACGTGCGAGCGCGACGACTGGTGCGGTACTTTATCCTTGTGCAGCCGAGCCAAAGTGGATGTGTGTGTTTTAAACACGCTGCAGATACAATCGATGCATGTGCTTCTGGCTGCTTTATTATCAAGCGCTCAGCAGAGTGTGTATGACGCTTAAAGCAGTGCCAACAATTCAATTAAAGCCTAATTACAAACTACAACACACGCCCCAGTCATGGTGCCGTTTTCATTGCCCGGTTTAATTAATTGGAAATTGTTTGCATTACAGGCTACAAAAGAAATAAGAAAAATTATCAATAATTAAACAATTAAGAAAGAATTTAAGAAAGAAAAACACACTAGGTTGCAAATTTTTGGAATTTAGGAATTTTGATTTCGTTTTTTAAATATATAATTTAAAAAAGTAGTTCTCAACTATAAGCACCCTTTTTTATCCTTATTACAAACTTTCATTTAGAAAAATATGCTCAAATCTCTGCCCCAATCATGCAATTTCAAGAGGTGGATCAATTCATAAAAATTAAATTTATTGCTGGATTATTGATTTTGGTGATTTCTTTCGCTCTTCCAAGCAAAATTTAGACAAATTTCGTAACCTCAATTCAAGATTCCTAATGTTCCTTTTGCTACAAAATATCTGAAAATATACTTTTGTTCATAAAAAAAACATCTTTTTTATTTCCTTTATGAATTAATTGCCTGCAACGGAAATAATAAAAATTATAAATAATTAGATCTGTTCAGATTTAAATTGTATAAAAAGTCAATTCTTTGATAAATTTTAACTCAGATGAAATAAATTCTAGTGGCTAATCCGACATTGATCAAATTCTTCAACACTTTTGTCTTTAAAATTATATAATTGAAAAGTATGATTCCTTTCAAGCTTGTAATTTCAGTGAAAATAATTTCAAAACCAACTCTTTTTCTTCCGCTTTAAAAATGCAAAACGTTGCAGCGTTTAAGATAATTATTTTCTCTTCCTTTATATTCAGCGTTGATGTGATTTCTCGCGGCCTCTTATTTTCTTAACTGTGAAGTCAAAGTTGCACAAAACTTTCCATCCATTGCTGAGCCACATACTGGCTTAGTTTCTCTGCCATAGTTCGCAGCCAAATCGATCAATACATTATATAATTTCATACGCTTGTGGTCGTTAGATATTTTCCCAAGTTGCCGATGTAAGCGAATGTGGCGATTTCGCTGCATCACCACTGCATCGCCGCTTTGTTTGAATGCCAAGGGAAAAAAGGTGGCGGCGAAATGCGCTCAGTTAATTGAATTGCTCTCTGGCGTCTTTCCATCGATTCTCCACTTTATCGCCATTCTGCTCCAATGACTCCGGAAATTTTAATGAATGACTTAACTAAACTCATTTGCTCACCGTGAAAAACGGAAATGAAAATTTTGTATAATCAAAGAGAGCAAATTTAAAAATAAATCTCTCATTGAGTCATTTTATAAATATTGAATTGAAATAAAAATAAGATGCAGTTTTAAAACTTTAGAAACTGTTTTTATTACAAAAATATCTAATTACTCTCACTTTTTAAATTGAATTAATTACAATAACAAGACTGAAATAATCATGAGCTCTTAATAAAGATAAAATTTCATCTTTTTTTTTTTAATTTCAAGTATGAATTTATGGATATTGATTCTGCCGTTTAACCTCCAGAATTGTTCTTTTATTTTTAAATAAATTTGCAAATTGTACTAATTTTCATTTGTTTTATTTTAATGGTCACGTAAATTCAATAAAAAAATGGACTAATACCTGGAATTACCCAGTCCACCTTTCAATCGCATGTTAGCTGGAATCATGCCATGTTCCTTTCAAACTGTTTTATTCCTGTTAATTTCACTCGCACCTAATTGCGTGCTGCGATATAAGGGAGGGTTATTGAGCTCTGGAAATGAAATTTCGTGTGTTGCGCTGGCGAATTTCGCCTCCCCTTCCTCCTCGTTTACTTCTTCTTCTGCTTCGAAACAAAGAATCGCAATTCGTGACAAGACGCGCGTTTTTAATGCACAATAAAAGTGGCAGCACGTAATCGCGGGGGCGAAACCACCCCCTTTGTGTGCTCGACCGGAACGCTCGCCTCGTAATCCTAGGGCTTGTTTATTTTATCGCTTTTGTATCGCAATGAGAGCAATCGATAAGTTTCCAATTACTCTTTCGAAAAGGAAACTTGGTGGAAACGACGCCTAGGGTAAAAAGAATAAGGGTGAAAGACTCGACGGGGGGTTTGTCGTGGAAAGTTCACAATCATTTTAACGGTTTTAACGAAATAACTTAAATTTCTTTCTTGCATATAATAAAATTTTGCCAACAGACGTCTTTTTGATGGGATAATAATTATTAAAAATTAATAATTTTTTAGTATTTTAGCTAATTCTTTAAATCAGGTGGTTTGAAGGTGACTCTAGAACCTTGAACTCAAGTTTAGAAGGGGAAAATTAAACCCAATCAGTTTATTTCCAACAAATAAGTTAATATACATTTAAAATTAAACATATTTCGTAAACAATATAAATTAATTTAATTTGCAATTAAATTATTGTTGTAAATTTGTCAAATTGTTACATCATAATACGATATTAAATTTTTCTAATAATTTTTTGGAAAAACAGAATCGCTGTATATATTTTAACGATTCATCTTTTTTTTATTAAAAGAGAAGAATTTTATTTTGCATAAATATATTATTTCCTCTCTCCAGTTTCATAAACATTAAATCATGATATTGTAGATAAAGTGACACATTTTCTCAGTTTTCAAACACACTATGAAGCTTCTGAAGCTGACGGCAACGCAAACTCCGTTCTCATTCAGGTTAACAGGAGACGAGCCTTTAGTGTTGTGCATGTGACATACACACACTCAAAACTAACAATCAGGCCTGCAGGGTGCATCGCTTGCATCTCATTACAACCCATCTTTCTCACCACAAAGCTCTCATGCCATTCTAGCCTTTCTTTCTTTCTCTGTGTTTGTTTGAATGCAAAGATGTGTTCCGAGCAAGCATGACCCACATCGGAGGAGACAAAAAATTTCTCCTAGTTTTGCAACTCAAATATTTGCCCGAGGAAATGAGCACTTTCGAGCCAACCCTGCGGCGTTTTTGCAGCGACGGGTCAAGTGATTGAAAAAACAAGACAGGATGATAGAAATATTGAAAAAGCATTTGATTGTTCAAAATATAAATATTCTATTTTAAAATTAAAATTTTCACATTTGAAAACTAAACTTAAAATTGAAGAATTTTCCATGATATAACAGCATGAAAACAAAAAAACTAAATATTTTGGCTCTATAATCAAAAATACTTTAAATTTTTTTAATCAAAGTGGGTTTAGTGACCTCTCAGGTCAAAGTTCAATGGCCCGAAGAAGATATTTTCCCGTTGTAAAAGCTTTTAAATTTTTCATTGGAACAATTTTAAATTTGATTTTTTTTTTAACACTCTTGAGAATCCTCTAAATTTCGATTTTGTTTGCGGAAGAGCTTTTGCTGCTCACCCAGTGTGTCAATAAAAGCTGAATGTTTCATGTGACCCTAGGACGGGGCGAGCGAGTTAGTCCGGAGCGCAAAGAGTGGCATTGGGGTAGCAGAGGCGGTCGGTGCTGCTCTCTCTCTGTTTCGCCGGCACCAATTTCCGCGGAAAAATCGAAATTAATTCCCTCTCGAAATTGTAATTTTACAAAATTAAATAATTTGATTCCGGTACATTTAAAACAGAAAAGGCTTGGCTTGGCTCGGTGCCCGGAAATTTTTAATTAAAATATCTGGCAGTGGAGCAGATTTATCCGGCCATTAAAGATGTGAAAGGGCTTTATGTGCAGAAAGCGGCGAACGTGA